AGGAGTTTGCCAGCGGGGAGCGCTTCCCTGCGCCCAGTGCCGCGTGCCACGTCTGCCTCTGCTGGGAGGGCAGCGTCAGCTGCGAACCCAGGGCCTGTGCACCTGCTCAGTGCCCCTTTCCCGCCAGGGGTGATTGCTGCCCTGCCTGTGACGGTGAGGGCCAGGGGACTGTGGGGATGAGGGGCTGGGAGGGCTGGGTCGGCATCACCCTTAACTGCCCTGGAGTGGGCCCACAACATCTGTCACATAATAACAAACACTGGACTAAAGCCTGGTGCTGCCAGGTTTTAGTCGTCCTGCCGCTGATGCTATTTGGATATGTGACCTTGGACAAGTTACATAACCTCTCTGGGCCTCATTTTTTTTTTTTAATTAAAAAATACATTTTAAAAAATGTGTATTTTTGTAAAATACACATAACATAAAATTCACTACCTTAACCATTTTTAAATGTAACTCTAACTTCAGCTCCTGTAAACAAGAGGCGGTGGAACAAGACCCAGTTCCCCAGTCTTTGGTCACCCTTGTACCATCTTCGCAATATTGTTACATACCCTCGACCACCTATAATTTTATTTAGTTAACTATTTTTCTTCAAATTAACTTTTAAATTTAAATCTTTTTTAGAAAGGAGTTTTTATATCATACTGTAAATGAATTCGATTTGCCAGGAATGAAGAGTTCCATAAACACTAATACAGTTAAAAATAAAACATTAAATTTGAGTCAGGCACTTTTGTCTGCCAAAGCTTTGAGACTCAGACTCGCCCTCTTTTTTTTTTTTTTTTTTTTCCTATTAAGACTTTATTTTTTTCTTTACGGCAGTTTTAGGTTGACAGCAGAAGTGAGAGGAGGGTACAGAGCTTGCCCATATACTCCCTGTCCCAGTACCTGCACAGCCTCCCTCATTATCAGCACTCCCCGCAGGAGGGGTGCATTTGATGAGCCAACCCTGACACATCATTATCACCCGAAGCGCCCTCTCTTTTTAAAAAAAGAGGTCAGCAAGAGTCAGAGAGCTGCTCGGATCAGGCCGCCACCACTCTGGGATCCCCTCCCCGTCCCTGATTCATCAGAGGGCTGGAAAGAGTACTGGGAAGAGGATACCTTGAACCATGTCTCCTAAGCCATCTCGGGCTATCTCCAGCTCTCCTCAACTTGGGGACATTGGTGCCTTCTGGCTGGGCAGTGGGCCTGCTGAGTATTTAACTCTAGGGACAGATTCTGTGTGGGTCTTTCCCGGTAGATTGCAGGCTGAAGGGGGGAAGTCTGAGCTTCGGCCGGCCCCCCCACCCCAGACTCCTCTGCCCCCCTTCCCCTGCCTGGCTCGAGCCCTCCCCTCCCCCCAGTTGGTGTGTCTTTGAGGCCCCAGCTCAGGCCCAACTGGACTGGACTGGACTACCGCTCACCTCTCACCCTTTCTGCCTCTGCCCTGCCCCTCCCCGTCCTCTCTCTCCAAGGTTGTGAGTATCTAGGGGAGTCCTACCTGAGCAGCCAAGAGTTCCCGGATCCCCGAGAGCCCTGCAATCTGTGTACCTGCCTCGGAGGCTTCGTGACGTGTGGCCGCCGGCCCTGCGAGCCTCTAGGCTGCAGCCTCCCGCTTACCCCGGCTGGACACTGCTGCCCGACCTGCCAGGGTAGGACAGCACCTGCCCTTCCTGCCCCTTCTGGAGCTCCCAGGCGCCCAGAGTCACCTGGTCTCACCACCGTCAGCCCCACAGCAAACCCATACCCTGTGCTTTCCTCACACCCCACCTGTGCCCTCCTGTCTGTCCCTGCTGTCACCTCAGACTCACGGTTGTGCTCATCAGATAACTGGGCCTCATGCTTCCAGAACTTCCTGCTCTTACACTGTCCCATCGCCTTCCTAAAATGTCACATCAGCAGACTCAAACATATTCGAGGGCTCCCATGCCCTTGAGTCAGCAGTCACGAGAGGCAGCTTCCTACCCTCCTGGCTTCTTTTGCCCATGATCGGGAGCCCGGGCCACCTCGAGCCTTCATTTCCAGGAGTGCCCGTATTCCTCACCTCCTCTTCCCTCGGGCGGCGCAGACCGAAACTTGCCAGCAGTCTTTGATCCCAGCTCCAGTCCTCAGCCCCCTTCATGCCTGCTGGCCTCCCCACTCGCAGCTAGCCGGAGGCTCTCCTCCCACCCTCACCTTGCTGGCCTCGGCAGGCCGCACCTAATGTCTCCTCCAGCCGTGGTGGAGGTCCCGGGCCCAGGCGTGCATGGCCGTGCAGGGCTACGTGGACAGATGTTCTTTGACTGCATTTCCTCCCCTGCCAGGATGCCTCTATCATGGGGTCGCTGCAGCCCCCGGAGAGACCCTTCCTGATCCACTTGACCCCGGCTGCTCCCTCTGCACCTGCCAGGTGAGGCGGCCTTTTGGAAACCTGGTAACTTTTCATCCCTTGATCCTCCTCTCTGACCAGGAAGACCTTGTTTCCTCCACCCCCGTCTCCCAGGGTACCATCTGGTGGAAGAGGCTTGGATTCTGGTCTCCCGGGCCAAGGGAGGGAGGTTGGAGCCTGGCAGGCTCAGTAGGGACAGCCCGCCCTGGGGCCATGTGTAGCCTGGTTTGAGGTTGTGACGACATGGAGTCCAGAAGTGGCAGCGTGACCCCTCTCCCCCAGGAAGGTTCCATGCACTGCCAGAAGAAGCCATGCCCTCCAGCTCTCTGCCCCCATCCCTCTCCAGGACCCTGCTTCTGCCCTGTTTGCCACGGTGAGCTGCCTTCCACATGCCAACCCTCCCCCCCCCGTCTGCCAGGCCTGAGGTTGGACAGGGCAAGGTGGCAGAGCCCCTCACCCAGGAAACGTGTTTCCCACAGGCTGCCTCTCCCAGGGCCGGGAGCACAGGGACGGGGAAGAGTTTGAGGGGCCCCCAGGCAGCTGTGAGTGGTGTCGTTGTCAGGTATGGTAGGGAGGGGGCAGAGCCGGGTGGGGACAGGGCCACAATGCCGCTGGGGCTCCTGGCCTAAAGGGCATGTCCCGCAGGCTGGCCAGGTCAGCTGTGTGCGGCTGCCATGCCCTCCTCTGTCCTGCCCGCTCCAGGTCACGGAGCAGGCCAGGTGCTGCCCTCGCTGCAGAGGTATGCCCGGCCCCATGTGGCTGCCCCCGTGCTTTTGCCACCTCCCCCCCCCGCCCTGATGCCCCGTACCTGCCCCACCTCCCTCTGCTAGCTCTCCCCTGGCCTCCTGCTCCCTGTCCACCTGCCTGGCCCTCCGACCTTGCTAGTCTTCAGTTCTTCCTACCTCTCCCTGCCCCTGGCCTGCCCAGACCATCACCCCCTCAAAACTGCCCCCTTCCTAACCACACTCTATTCATCATCAAAATAATGACGATTCACATTGGTTGAGCACATCCCGTCTGAGCTCAGCACTGGACACATACCTCATTTAACCCACACACTATCAAATGGGTACTATTATTATTCCCATTTCACAGATGAGAAAAGCGAGGTACAGAGAAGTAACATAACTTGCCTGGGGTCATGCAGCTAGTAGGTGGCAGTCAGGATTTGCATCTTAGCCATCTGGGTCTACATTGTTACCTTGGGCACATGCTTAGGGATGGAGCCTTTCCTTCTTTCCGCATGCATTTATTACACACCTACCGCATGCCAGCTACCATTGCTGGTACTGGGCTACTATTTGTTGTAGCCCTTGGTCTAGCAAGCAAGCAGACATGGAATGGGATAAGAACCCAGGTGTTCTGACCCTGAGCCAGGGCCCTTCCCCTCCCCCACACATAGGAGCTCTGCCCCCCCTTCTCACCGCCTCCCTGCAGATCCTCCTCCCAGCACCCACATGCCCTGCCAAGCGCCCAGGGTTGGGGGCACAAGGGCATACAGGCAGAACCAAGCCTCAGAGCTCATCCCTGCCCACCTGGGACACAGGTTGCCTGGCCGATGGGGAGGAGCACTCTGAAGGCAGTAGCTGGGTGCACCCCCAAAGCCCCTGCTCCTCCTGCATGTGCCATGAGGGCATCGTGACCTGTGCTCACATCCAGTGTGTCATCGCCTGTGCCCGGCCCCACCAGGGGCTCAACGACTGCTGCCCTCGATGCTCGGGTACTGGGAGCCTGGGGCTGGCTGGGGGAAGGCAGGGAGGCGGCACCCGCTCAACATCTCCGTCCTTTGTACTGGGTTGGGCGGCAGAGCCGGGCTGTTCTAGAGAAGTGACCCCCATTCCTGCATACACGCCAATCCCTGGAGCTGGGGGGCACTGCGGGGGCAGAGAGCCCCACCCCCTGGCATTCCTGCCAGCCTAAAGCCTCCCTGGTCGTGTTCTGCTCCTACCCCCACCCCCACCCCCGCCCCAAGACTGTGAGCATGAGGGCCGCAAGTATGAACCCGGGGAGAGCTTCCAGCCTGGGGCAGACCCGTGTGAAGTGTGCATCTGTGAGGTGGGTGACGGCAACGCTGAGGGGTGGGGCACCATAAAGGGGGCAGCCTGGACCCTGTGGGGCACGAGCACTATGGGGGTCAGAGAGAGGAAGGTGTGCCTGTGGCCAGGAGGTGAGGCAGGACTTGGGGTGAAGTGAGGAGCTAGGCAGGGCCAGGAAGTGTGGGGTGGGGAGGGCGCTGAGTGGGGGGGGTAGGGGTGGGGGGGCAGTGGGAAAGCCCTCCTAGCTGGAGTGTAGGGTGGGTGTATATGGGAGGTAGAGGGAGATACGTGGGAAGCAGTTGGGGGGGCATGTTAGGGAATTCCATGTGAAGGCAATGGCGAGCAGCTGTATGATGTCCCATGTCCGGAGACTTGGCAGGGAGGAGGGAGGATGGCATGAAAGTGCAGGAGGGTCAACGGTCACATGAAGGGTCAGGCCTGAGTAACGGGAAAGAGAAGGGGACATCACCTCTGGGAATTAGGGCATGGAGTGAGAAGCAACCTGGGGAGATGGTGAGTCTCTGCAGACTGGACTTTAATCTGCCCAAGACACATCCGGGGGGAGGTGCAGCAGGCAGATGGAAGGGCCTGGAGTCCAGGGAAAGAGGGTGTCTTCTCGGCTTCCAGGGCCTGAGACCCACCCCCTTTGCTCACTCATTTTTGTAGCTGCAGCCTGAGGGACCCCCCAGCATTCAGTGTCACCGGCGGCAGTGTCCAAGCCTGGTGGGCTGTCCCACCAGCCAGCTCCTGCCCCCTGGGCCCCAGCACTGCTGCCCCACCTGTGCCCGTGAGTCGCTGGGGATGGGGGTAAAGAGGGTAGGATGGCCACCCCAGAGTGACACTGGAAGAGCCACCCAGCTCTCCTCTGCAGCCCAGCCCTCCCCCTTTCTTGAGTCCGGTGGACTATTCTGGAAGCCCATGCCCTGGCAGGGGAGGGCTGCAACCCCGCAGGGGGGAATTGGGGATCCTTGACTCTGAAGCCAGTTTGTGGAGCATCTTGCCCAGCAGGTGGCGCTGCGGGGCGGGAGTTTTGCCGGCCGCGGGCTTCTTGAAAGCAGCAAAGGGAGACCAGAGCGGCTCCAGAGGTGGGGAGCCGTTCTTACCAGCACTTGCTAGGATGTGCTTCAGGGAAAGAGAAGAGGACTAACATTTATTATGCATCTACTGCATGCTAGACACTGTACTCGGTGCTTTGAATAAACAGTATCCCATTTAATTCTCAGTTGCCCAGTGAGGGGTATTATTGTTCCCTTTTGCAGATGAGAAAACGGAGGTTCAGAGCGGTTGGTTAGTCTGCCCAAAATGGCACAGGCACTGAATGCTGGAGCCAGGATTAGAACCTGGAGTACCTCCCTGGCTCTCTGGGCTTCCTTGTGCCATTCTAGCCGGGTGATATAAAAAGGAAGTAGCAGAGGGAGCAGGCGAGGCATCCTGATGGTCCTTAGTGACCTGAGGCTAAGGAAGCCACACCCTGTCCATTTCCAGGCCCTCCACCCTAGTAGTGTGCGAAGTTCTTTTCAAAAAGTCCCAACTTTTCTTTGCTGACCGCAGAAGAAAGAGGACTCCTCCTCTTGGAATCGCCCTAGGGATAGGAGTATGCCCTAGGACTAAGAAGTCCGGGGACACAGTGGGTGAGTGGGCTTTTGCCCCCTGCTTCCCCCTTCTCCCCCCAACACGGAGTTCTTGTCTTCACAGAGGCGCTGAGTAACGGCACAGAAGGCCTGCTGGGCTCCGAGCTGGCCCCGCCCGACCCTTGCTACACCTGCAGGTGCCGGGTGAGCCTCCTGCCCCGGGGGCTCCCAAAGCGCTCTCTTCCTCCACTGTAGGCTGCGGCAGCAAGCCCTCTCCTGCAGTGGCTCCAGGCTCCCCATTCACCCCGACATCCACCCACTTACGTTGGATATCGTATCTGGCCTAGGCCTGCTCCCAACTACACACCCTGCTCCCTCCCTGCTGGTCTCTACCAGTGGTTTCACATGCCCTTCCCCAGGACCTGACATGGCTCTGCATTCACCGGGCCTGTCCGGAGCTCAGCTGTCCCCCATCAGAGCGCCATACCCCCCCTGGGAGCTGCTGCCCCGTGTGCCGAGGTAAGTCAGCCTTGACCTGCATCCTCTGAGCATGAGCCCAGGGGGGAGACAGGAAGGGTGGCATCCAGAGTCTATGTGGGCAACCTGGGGTCTATACTCCAAATGCAGGCTTCCTTCTTTTGTAGAAATGAAGGGTTACTCACTGGGGTGCAAAAGGTAGAGGAAATCAGGGAATGAAGTCTGGATTCTCAAGGCCTCGCCTGAGGCTTGTCGGTGGGCTCAGGGACCCCAGGCCCACTGGCCAGGCATTGCACTGAGCTGGCAGCCAGCCCATGGGAAGCCGGAGGTTTCCCAAGAGCCTCTGGCTCTTTGGGCCTCCAGGACCCTCTCCTCTTCCTGAGCCCTGGGGTAGGTCTAGTAGGTCATCCGGATACCGGATGAAGAAACCGACACCATCAGGGTGCTTGTGGAATGGTGTGGGCACTCCCCTGCTGTGGGCCTTCAGGGTGAGCTCCAGAGAGGAGGATGCAGTTGGAAGGACAATGCTCCCCCATCCTCATTTCTCCCTCCTCAGAATGCGTGGTGGAGGCTGAGGGCCGGAGCGTGGCAGATGGAGAGAGCTGGCAGGACCCTAGCAACGCTTGCCTTACTTGCACCTGCCGTGTGAGCTGGGGGTCGTAGGGTGGGCATCGGGTGGGGTGCAGGGCCTTACAGATGGGTGGATAGAGAGTCTCAGGACACTGGACCAGTGACTATGGGGTCTTTGAGGTAATTAGAAAAAGGCGCCCCCTCTGAGAGCGGGCAGCGGCGCCCGTGGGCTGGGGCAAGGAACTAAGGGCTGGATTTCATCCCCCACTGGAACGTGACATGGGTGTTCTTGTGGGGCAGGGGCAGAGAGAAGGGGCTGCTCCCTCAGACTGTGACCCAGAGGGCCCCCAGAAGGGTGAGGCCAGGGCCCCCAGGCCCTGCGGGAGGTCCCTAGAGCAGTGACATCTGTCCTCAGCGGGGCCACGTGCAGTGCGACCTGGAGGAGTGCCCCGCCCTCTCCTGCCCCCACGGCTGGGCGAAGGTGCGAGAGGCCGGCCGCTGCTGTGAGCGATGCCAAGGTGCCAGCCAGAACATGGGGGTTGGGGACGAGCGAGACCTCAGTGCGAGGGACGGGCAGGTGACCCTACCCCGCTCCTGTCGCCTCAGCCCCCGCCCAGTCGTGCGCGCACCAGGGCCGGGCGGTGGCCTCCGGGGAGCGCTGGGCCGTGGACGTTTGCACCACCTGCTCCTGCGTGGCCGGCACGGTGCGCTGCCAGAGCCAGCGCTGCCCGCCGCTCTCCTGTGGCCCCGTGAGTGCCGCGGTCCAGGGCGGGGGGGGTGAGTGGGCACGTGGCACCGCCGTCCGGGCGAAACGAGGCGGGAGGAAGGAGGGAGGCAGGGCTAGGGTAGCGGCCGCCGCGCGGTGGGGCGGAGGTACCCGAGGCCTGCAGTTCCAGGCGTGGCCACAAGGGGGTGCCCTGAGCCCGCTCGCGGTGAGCCCGGAGGCCGGAGTCCGAGTCCCCGGAGACTCCCGGGCGATCCTCGGTCCCGGGGAGTCTCTGCGTGGGGCACGGCGGGGAGGGCGATGTGTCTGACGGGGCCTGGGGCTGAGGCCAGGACGAGGCCCCCGCCCTGAGTCCCGGCAGCTGCTGCCCCCGCTGCCTGCCTCGCCCCGCCTCCTGCACGGCCTTCGGAGACCCTCATTACCGCACCTTCGACGGCCGCCTGCTGCACTTCCAAGGCAGCTGCAGCTACGTGCTGGCCAAGGACTGCCGCGGAGCGGACTTCAGGTGCGCAGCCCCCTCTGCCTTCCCCCAACTCCCCACCCCTGTCCCTGCTGACCGCGGCACCTGGGCCTCTCACGCCATAGCGTGCACGTGACCAACGATAACCGGGGCCGGAGGGGTGTGGCCTGGACCCAGGAGGTGGCGGTGCTGCTCGGAGACGTGGTCGTGCGGCTGCTGCAGGGCAGAGCGGTCACGGTGAGCAGAGCCGAGGACCCGGGGAAGGTGGGTCCCGCGCCGTCCGCGGTCCACTCGTCAGTCCCGGCGTCGTCCTCCTCCCGCCTCCCTCCTCCAGGTGGACGGGCGCCCGGTGGCCTTGCCCTTCCTACAGGAGCCGCTGCTGTACGTGGAGCTGCAGCGACGCGCGGTGATCGTGCACGCCCAGCCGGGGCTCCAGGTGCGCCGCCAGGGCCAGTGGGGTGTGGGAGCCCCGGACCGGTTCAGGCGTCTGTTATCTGGAGAGGGAGTGGGAATACCAGCTAGGTCCAGGGCCACATCAGGCCAGGGAGGTGAGAGAGTTCGGCTGGATTCTGAGGGGATCTTGGGATTCTTGGGTGCAGCGAAAGGAGTTCTGAGCCTAGTCTCTAATCTTGGTTCAGCCACCAACACAGTGGGACTCTTAGGCCAGTACCAACTGCCTCCGGGCCTGTTTTCTCATTGGTAAAAAGGGGGAAATGTTGGGGGGGGTGTCATCTGAGGTCTCCTAGGCGACTTCTGAGATTCCTTCCAACTCCCATGTCAGAGAGTAAATTTCTCCCTGCCTTCGGCAAGAAGTACAGTCTGTAAATTCATAAAATAAGGCTTGTCTGTACTTCTGATCCGGACTCGAATTGTGCTTTATCCTCTGTAAGGCCCTAATGCCCACGAGAAAGTGAATCTCTGGAAGTGGGTGTGCATTTCACCAGGGGCTCAGCTCAGGGATGCCAACGGGAGAAGGTGCCCTCCTGCCAGTGTGGTCAGCTCTTCATGTCTTCGCCGGGGACTCACACAGCGTGGGGCAACTTGGCTTTGGCCAGAGCTGCCTCCTCTCCGTGGGGGGCCTCTCTCCACCCATTCTCCTCCCCTCTAGCAGGGAGGGTGCTGACAGTGCCTGGGGCCAGGACGGGGTCCCTACCTTTCCCCACTCCCCAATGCCAGCCTCTCTGCACAGGTGCTGTGGGACGGGCAGTCTCAGGTGGAGGTGAGCGTGCCTGGCTCCTACCGGGGCCACATGTGTGGGCTCTGTGGGAACTTCAATGGCTTTGCCCAGGATGATCTGCAGGGCCCTGAGGGGTTGCTCCTGCCCACAGAGGCTGCCTTTGGGAATAGCTGGCAGGTGAGTGGCACAGGAGCTGGGTGGCTGAGGGAGGCACAGTTGAGTGGGAGTCTTAGAACAGCCTGCTTATATGGAAAGCCGGGGGATCACTGAAGGGCTGTGCAGCTTCAGGATGATTTGGGGTCGTGGTGCTGGGGGAGGCAGGACGGCCTGTTGGAAGAGGCATCATCTAAATCCGCAAGCCCTGCCTTGCCACTCACCGGCTGTGTGAGCTTGGATAAGTCCCTTACGTGCTCTGGGCCTCGGCTTGTCCATCTGTAAAAGGGGGACAAGGAGAAAGTGGCCGGTGCTTCCTTTGCTGTTCTTATAGGGAGGTTTTTGAAGCTAAACCAAAACATTTGGTGGAAAGTGTTTTGAAGAACGTAGCACACCAAGGTCAGCTTGCCAGGGGATGCTTTCACATCAGGGTCACTCTTCCCGCCTAGGTCCCAGAAGGGCCGGGACCTAGCCGGCCATGTTCCAAGGGCCGCGAGGTGGATCCGTGCAGGGCAGCGGGTTACCGAGCCAGGCGTGAGGCCAATGCCCGCTGTGGGGTGCTGACGTCCTCCCCGTTCAGCCGCTGCCACGCTGTGGTGCCGCCGGAGCCCTTCTTTGCCGCCTGCGTGTATGACCTGTGTGCCTGTGGCCCCGGCTCCTTGGCCGATGCCTGCCTCTGCGACGCCCTGGAGGCCTATGCTGGCCACTGCCGCCGGGCGGGGGTGACGCCTGCCTGGCGGGGCCCCACACTCTGCGGTGAGGGGGCAAAGCCCAGCGCGAGTTGGGGAAGAGGGTGGCACAGAGGGCTCGGGTCTGGACGGGGTGCCCCCGTGACCCTGCCTTCGCCTCCACCTGCAGCGGTGGGCTGTGCCCTGGACCGCGGCTTCGTGTTCGATGAGTGTGGCCCGCCCTGTCCCCGCACGTGCTTCAACCAGCACGTCCCCCCAGGGGAGCTGGCAGCCCACTGTGTGAGGCCCTGCGTTCCTGGCTGCCAGTGCCCGGCAGGCCTGGTGGAGCACGAGGCCCACTGTGTCTCACCCGAGGCCTGCCCCCCCATCCAACTCACTGGGGACCAGCCCCCCAGACCTCTGCCCGGCCCCAGCCAGTAGCCTCAGGGGGCACCCGGAGCCAGGATGACACCAGGACTCATCGGGTCAAAAGCGTCCCCTTGGAGAACGGCTCCCGCCGTGGCCAGAGCCGTGGAAAGAGTGCCCTACCCAGGCACCGGGAGCCTGGGCCTTTGTCCCACAAAGACCTCACTGTGTTCAGTCAGAAGCAGTAAAACTGGGGGCTCTCCCACGGCATACTTGTGTGTATGTGTGTTTTCTCCTGGTGCTGGGATGGTGGCGTGGGCTGCTTGGAACATGGGGTCCAGTGGTTCGGTGTCCCCAGCTGTGGGAGCTGAGCCCTGGATCTTGCTCATCACGTCTTGCACCTGCCTGGGCTGCCCCCACCTGCCATACCCTGGGGTTGCCTGGGAAACCCTGCACTGGATGGAAGGAAGACCTAGATATCTTGGTCTCAGCTCTGTGCTCCCACTGTGTCGCAAGCGTGGCCCATGGTCCCTCAGTGGTTCACGTGGAATTCTGGGGGGGCTGAGGAGCACAGAAAAGGGGCTCAGTCCTCACATGGCATTCCCTTTCCTCTTGACTTGGGGGATTCCAAGTGCTAGGTGTCTCCAGGGCCGCTCTAAGAGCTGGTGACAGGGACATGCCCAGGGTGGGGAACTGGAGACACAATAGACCATGATGAAATATGGATACATGCGCACACACATACACACACACTCACACGCACATACACACACTCACACATACATGCACGCATGCACATGCACACTGTGCACACACCCCCTCAGAAACCCAGGTAAACATGTGCAGCACATGCGTGGCCCCTGTGTGCATCCACAGCCACACCCAGCCTGGATGGACACGTGAGCAGGGGACATCCTTGTAGAGGAAAGAACATGGGTTCGGAAACAGAAAACAAGTCTATTTCTTCGAAAGGTCTCTTTGCCAAAAAGACTGTTTTTGCCACCTATTGGCTGTGACCTTGGTGATGTAGGGTAAAAGATGAGCGGGTACTGCATTCTCATCGCAGCTCCCCCTTCCTTCAGCAGGAGGGAAGGGAGTGTTGGGCTGACCCGAGACCAGCTGTCCTGCTGCTCAGCCCACCTGTGAGCCCGCCCCCGCCCCCTCCCCGAGCGGACTCGGCCCCGGGCTCTCGCGGAGCGGTTGCCAAGCAGCAGGTATGCGAGGCTGCTCGGGACAGCAGGGATGTGGCAATGACAGACCAGCTCGTGCCCTTGTCCCTGCCCTTGTCATAACCTTCACAAACCATGCCTTCACCGGCTGTATCTCTTGTGTCGCGACAAGTAGACAGAGTAGACCCGGGGCCAGCACTTTGCACGTGGACAGCGTGGAGCAGGTGCCTGGGAAGTGTTCGCCTTTGTCCTGCCCGTGGGGGCTCCTCGTCCCTGGGACCACGTTTCCCCCAAGCCTCTTCATCACGGCCACTTGCCTCCAGATGAGGGAGACGTTGCCCCACGTTAGCCGGGGCAACCCGACTCTCCGGGGCCACTTGCTAGTCTGTAAGACTGGGATGAGGACGCTAGCACCCACTTCACAGAGTTGCGTCAGGGATGGATTACACGGATGCAGCCTTTAGTTTCCTGGCCCACGGTGAGTGAGCCGGGGGTGGCTGTGGCCCGCGTGGGGCCCATTACGTGCGTACATAACACCGTTGAGAGCGTCATACGTACATATAAGACACATGCTCTGAGGCTTGCAAACAAGCACACGCACGCACTGTTCTCACCAGCGAGGTCCCAGTCCTCGCCCCACACTACCGCCCCCCACAGCCAAGAAACCCAGGTCAGAGGCAGGCCCGAGTCTCTCTGAGACTTGGCTGGGGTCCAGGCCGTGGCTCAGATGTCAGGTCCCCGCATTATTGAGCTCGGGAGCCTTTGTCTCCTCCTCGGTTCTTGGTCCTCTCCTCTCCCCACTCCAGCAGCCGAGGAGAGGAGGGAGGGGACATCTGCTCTGGCTCCCCCTCCCCATGGAGCACACAGCCGCACCTGGGGGCCCGGGGCTCCCTTGTAGCCACAGGCAGGCCTTAGCCCTGTACCAGCACCTCTTTAGATGCCCTGCAAGCCTGGGCCAGCTCCAGGCTGCCCTGCAGCAGGTGAGGGGGGTAAGGCATTGCCTCCGAAGGGCAAGGCAGAGGCCTGACTCCATCGTGTCCCCCCTGGTGCAAGAGAGTCGGGCCTGTCCATCAGGGCTGGAGCTCCCCACTGTGTTGCTGGAGATGGGGCGGAGCCGGCGGGCCCAGCAGCAGGTAGGGGCTGGCCGAGGGGCATGGCAGAGGGCAGGGTGGGCACCCCTTCATGCCCTGGCACCCCCTCTTTTTACAGCTGCTGTGGGACTTGGAGCTGCTGACTGGGGCAGGGCTGAGGCTCTTCTGGCCCCCCTGGGCCAAGTTCTGCGGTCTGAGGGACCAGGCCCAGTGTGTACGGAGTCAGTGCGGCAAGCCCCATGGTGGGATGGGCGGGGGGCCCTGAGCGGCGGACCAGCTGGGTGAGCGGGGGGCTTGGCTGAAGGCAAGGGGGGTCGGTGTGACATCGGGGTGATGGTGGTGGCGAGGGAAGAGGAAGAAGTATGGGCTTCAGACACAGATGGGCCTGGGTTCTCTCTGGTCTGATGCTCCCTGGGGACCATAAGCCTCTGTTCCCTCAGCTACAAAATGGGGAAGATAATCGATCTTACACAAAGGGAGCACCAGTGAACTCATCCATGTAAGGGGGTTAACACGGTGCCTGGACCTGCAATTAATGACTATCTTGGTCAAATCAACGGCGTGGTGACATCTCGAAGGCTTTAGACACGGCTGCACGGTGGGAGGAAAGCAAGCCTGCATGGCTGGCTCCTGAGGGCAGAGGCACTGATGCCCGGGTCCACGGACCCTTTCCCCCAGGGCTGGTGGCTGGCCTGGCCCCTCTAGGAGGGAGGGTGCTATGGTGACTGGGACCTGGGACTGTGCCTCCCAGTTCTCAGTTACCAACTGTCCGAGGCTCTTTGGGCAGGTTGGCAGCCCTCTCTGAGAGCCGAGGCATCCTCAGCTGCAGCGAGAGGGGGTGTTAGCGGTAAGGGAGGGTCCAGCCGACCCTGTTGGCCGGAACAGCAGTCTCATCTCATCTGCAGGCTCGAATGGGCAGGAGCGATCCATTTCCTCACAAGGAGGGGAAGAGAGCAGGGTCATACATGGGCAAGGGTACCAGGAGGAGGGATGATTTGGGCCATCTTAAATGGTGCCTACCCTAGCCCACCTGTGGACTAGGGCACCCTCCAACTTTCCAGAGTTCCAGGCTGTGCCCATTGCCCCAGGCTGGGGACTCTCTGAGCCAGAACCATCAGCTTCCAGAGGGGTGAGTCTTTCTCCCAGGAAATTCTGTCCAGTTTGTATTGCCACACAAAAGGGCCAAGCCCTGGATCCTTTTTCCTATCTCCTTCCACAGTCCTGCCTAGGCCCTCTTCCTAATGCCCAAGGCTCCTCTTGGGGTCCTCACTCAGTTGTACCCATATGGTTGCCCCACAGCCCCTGGAAAGGGTGACCCCCACGTTCCAGCTCCTGGGACCGAGGGGTGGGTGCAGGGGCTGGGAGAGGCCGCCCTGGACTGGGCTCAGGCATTGGGGTGGGGGGACTGGCGGACAGGCTGCCTCCCCTTTCTAGAGCCCATGGGCTGCAAGAGCCGATTCTGAGGCAGCCTCTGACTCCTGTAGGGGGCAGGCGGTTGACCCATCGTCGGCCCTGGATCTGGGTGAAGCTAGGAGTGACGGAGACCCAAGGTGGGGGAGCCCTGCTATGCCTGCAGAGCCCACACCCCGTATGCTGACACCCTGGCTGGGTGGCCAGACAAGATCGGGAGGAGGTGGGAAGTCCTCATCCCAAGTGCCAGGATCCCAGTCCCCTTCTCACTCATTCTTCATCTCATACTTTTCATTGGGTGCCGAGGAGCACCCGGGGACAAGAAGTAGGTTTTATTTTATGTCCCAATTCCGCCTGTTCGGTACCAGCTGTCTCCAGCACGGGGTCCAGGATTCCGAAGCTAAACTGGGGCTCAGGGGAGGGAGTGATGGAATGACTGTGCGTGGTGGCCCAGGGAGGAGGGATGGAACGGCGGCACCTGTCACCTATTTGCCCCCCACACACACACCAGGCACTGGGAACATACAGAGCACAGGATGGACTTGGCCCCACTCCTTGGTCCCTGTCACTGAGGAGATCACAGCTTAGTGAGAGTGCAACCATAAACAGGCAATTAGAATTCCATGGGATAGATGCTGTGAACCCTGGACCTATTAATTTAAATGAACCAGACTCTCACATTATTTGTTAAATAAACCTAGTTGAGCCAGAAGCCTCTAATTGTTCCATCATGCACGTGAGAGAAAAGCAAAGAGCCAATGCTTGTTTTTTCTGATTGGCAGAGATTTTTACAAGTAAAAGATCTCTTGGGAATACAGAGGCCTCAGTTACAACATTATAACCAGAGGAATAAGTTCTCTAGTAAGACAACAGATCAGAATTGTGAGGGCACAGGGCTGGGGGTCATGTTCAGTGTTCATGGCAATCATTTCTTTCTTTTTTTTTTTTTTTTAATATTTTATTTATTTGTTTGACAGAGACAGACACAGTGAGAGAGGGAACACAAGCAGGGGGAGTGGGAGAGGGAGAAGCAGGCTTCCCGCCGAGCAGGGAGCCCGATGCGGGGCTCGATCCCAGGACCCCGGGATCATGACCCGAGCCGAAGGCAGACGCCTAACGACTGAGCCACCCAGGCGCCCCTCATGGCAATCATTTCTAAAGGCTTGGGAGTCTTATCAGACTCCTTTGTTCAAAAGACATGGTCACAAAGAACTTACCCATTTGGTTACTTTTGTGAATATTCACACATCCACATTGCATAAAGATGGAATATTCTTGTGACAGTTCTCCATTTAGGGTCTTACGAAATCAAGTTCTTTTAACTAGTTCTAGGGCTGCAGAAGGACTCTCTTTCCTGCACATCTGCAAGGGAGCAGAGACATTTCATTTCTTTTTTTAGATTTCTTTTGTTAATTATGAAACTTGCAGTTTTTAGGGCCGGCTCCAGCCTCAAATTTCATTTCTTGAGTTTCATTTGATTTTACTGTCAGCAACCAAGAAAGACCTAAGGAGGACTTTTCTTAATAACAGTAAAATAAGGTGCCTACCGTGGGTTTCTTTACGGGCCTAGAGGGGCCCACCAGGAGGAAGTGGGGTGTCCTT